GTTTGCATTCATACAATTGTTACTCTCACTGAGCAGAGAAACTGCTCAACGGTAGGTGCTTTCTGCAGAACTGTGCGCATTATTCTGGAGCTTATGTTCAAGGGAACTGTGGAGGAGTGAAGCAGTTGCTAGTAGCGGACGGCTGCCGGACCAGAAGCGCCTTGTTGGAAAATAGCTGCAAGCGTTGTGCCAGGCTGATTTTGCTGTTTCAGAAGCAGCAATGGAAGTTGATGAGGAGGAAATTAACATCGGATCACCTTGGCAGAAGGAAATTTGGCAGCTGAAGCACTTGCCGTACTATGACGAGGTGCGAAAGGAAGCAGACGATCATTTTAGGTATCATTTCATCCGTTTTTCTTTTTTTTTTTTAATACCACTGTACATAAAAAAGAAAAGAGTAATGAAGTCATGTTTCTGTAAGCGTCTTCTGTTCGGATATCGAACTTCCCAGGGCTAAGAAGTTTTTGGGGAATAGTGACCGGACTTGCTCGAAACCAGTTGTTTGAAATTGTTTTCTGGCCATCCTGGTTTTGCGATCTCAGAATTCGGTTCGAACCCTTGTAATTGAAGTACGAAAGTAGCAGTAGGAGCAGGATTTTGGAAATTTTCGCGAATTAAATTGTCAGAAGTCGACTTTCAGATTTATTGCAGCATATCATGTGAGAGCTAAATTTGCTTCTAATCTACTAATCGAGAATGAAAAAGGCACCGATCACTGGAGGGCTTATTTTTTACAGGCAGTGCGAAGTGAATAGCTTATAATTATTTCTCTTTTCCTTCCCCGGTTATTTTAATGTTGCATGTGTATCTGTTGTCTCTCATTCTTGCCACATTTTCAGCCAGCATTGCTCTGATAACACTGCTCATGCCAAGCCGAAGTTCTAGTACTTCACTGGAAAGGTGCTGCAACTTGCTGATCCCTGTTCTTGCGTCATTTTAATTTTTATTTCAATTATTGCAGGCACATCAAAGCGGGCTTAGTTTATTCCGTCATGCTGCGGGATATGCGACCGGGCTTAGTCCATTGGATGTGCGAACTGGACAAGTTAGTTTTTATCATACTCATAATTTCTTGTTTCCGGCACATCCCTAAACTGTCAGTCTACGTTATGAAGGAAATGATTTTTTTTCTTTGTGGACTTGTTCGGGTAGCACAGAAAGGCAGAAAGCCTTACTATTGCTTTCAGATATATTGCTTTGTATTCGCGTCGTTTCACGAAGACGGATCACATCGGCCTGGTAAAATTGACGTATGCCTGCATGACAATGAAAGGAGTGGACTTTCGCATTGTTAAGATCTGCGCCAGTGCGGTGACAAATCTACTGTAGTAAGTTTTGGCGATAGAAATGCTTGTTTTTATGAAACAGAGAAGATAAGGCATAGGATATTCGAAGTGTTCCATTAAATACAATTCAGTTCTAGTAATGTTTTTTTGAATCCTTGAAACTTAAGAGGCGCTTGTGTCGTCCTGTTGCTGTTACGAGTCGTGCTGAAGTTCTTTGGGCGCATTCTAAACACGCCGAGAATTTCTCGGGATTTTTTTTTTTTGTTGTACTAACTTTTCAGGATAGGCAGTTTCGCAGCTGCAATTTTTTTAGAAGCATTGAGCTAGGTTCTCCTGATCCCATCGTTCAATAAAGTTTTCTAAGTGTTCCAGTTGACTTTTGAAGCTACCTGAGTTTTTCAAGTTAATTTTTTTCATTTCGAATCTCCCGAGTCCGAGCATTGCTCTCTCCCTTCAAGTTTAGCATACTGCACTTGTTTTGCCTATGCTGAATTTAGTTGGTCCCTTTATAAATCATTTTTTACTTTCTAAGCACGTTTAAAAGAGAACTGCTTCAAGCTTGCACTGAAAGGACCATTGAAAGAGAACATCGTTTGCAGCCTTGCCAACGAGTTGTTTCTAGTGCTTTGTGCTGCTGCCCATTCGGATTGCAT